CTTTTGGTGTCCTCCTTGTTATCTATAAATTTATTTTTTATTTGCTGAATCAAATTTAAAACTATACTCATACATAATTTTTCAAGGTATCTTAAATTATTATTTTTTCAATTTTAATATTTGTTGAAACCTTCTTATTATCTACAAATAATTTGTTAATCAATAAGTATAAAAAATAAACAAATAAATTGAACCTTATCTGATATAACAAATAAATTGAAATTTTAATTTTAATAACTTTTGGTGTCCTCCTTGTTATCTATAAATTTATTTTTTATTTGCTGAATCAAATTTAAAACTATACTCATACATAATTTTTCAAGGTATCTTAAATTATTATTTTTTCAATTTTAATATTTGTTGAAACCTTCTTATTATCTACAAATAATTTGTTAATCAATAAGTATAAAAAATAAACAAATAAATTGAACCTTATCTGATATAACAAATAAATTGAAATTTTAATTTTAATAACTTTTGGTGTCCTCCTTGTTATCTATAAATTTATTTTTTATTTGCTGAATCAAATTTAAAACTATACTCATACATAATTTTTCAAGGTATCTTAAATTATTATTTTTTCAATTTTAATATTTGTTGAAACCTTCTTATTATCTACAAATAATTTGTTAATCAATAAGTATAAAAAATAAACAAATAAATTGAACCTTATCTGATATAACAAATAAATTGAAATTTTAATTTTAATAACTTTTGGTGTCCTCCTTGTTATCTATAAATTTATTTTTTATTTGCTGAATCAAATTTAAAACTATACTCATACATAATTTTTCAAGGTATCTTAAATTATTATTTTTTCAATTTTAATATTTGTTGAAACCTTCTTATTATCTACAAATAATTTGTTAATCAATAAGTATAAAAAATAAACAAATAAATTGAACCTTATCTGATATAACAAATAAATTGAAATTTTAATTTTAATAACTTTTGGTGTCCTCCTTGTTATCTATAAATTTATTTTTTATTTGCTGAATCAAATTTAAAACTATACTCATACATAATTTTTCAAGGTATCTTAAATTATTATTTTTTCAATTTTAATATTTGTTGAAACCTTCTTATTATCTACAAATAATTTGTTAATCAATAAGTATAAAAAATAAACAAATAAATTGAACCTTATCTGATATAACAAATAAATTGAAATTTTAATTTTAATAACTTTTGGTGTCCTCCTTGTTATCTATAAATTTATTTTTTATTTGCTGAATCAAATTTAAAACTATACTCATACATAATTTTTCAAGGTATCTTAAATTATTATTTTTTCAATTTTAATATTTGTTGAAACCTTCTTATTATCTACAAATAATTTGTTAATCAATAAGTATAAAAAATAAACAAATAAATTGAACCTTATCTGATATAACAAATAAATTGAAATTTTAATTTTAATAACTTTTGGTGTCCTCCTTGTTATCTATAAATTTATTTTTTATTTGCTGAATCAAATTTAAAACTATACTCATACATAATTTTTCAAGGTATCTTAAATTATTATTTTTTCAATTTTAATATTTGTTGAAACCTTCTTATTATCTACAAATAATTTGTTAATCAATAAGTATAAAAAATAAACAAATAAATTGAACCTTATCTGATATAACAAATAAATTGAAATTTTAATTTTAATAACTTTTGGTGTCCTCCTTGTTATCTATAAATTTATTTTTTATTTGCTGAATCAAATTTAAAACTATACTCATACATAATTTTTCAAGGTATCTTAAATTATTATTTTTTCAATTTTAATATTTGTTGAAACCTTCTTATTATCTACAAATAATTTGTTAATCAATAAGTATAAAAAATAAACAAATAAATTGAACCTTATCTGATATAACAAATAAATTGAAATTTTAATTTTAATAACTTTTGGTGTCCTCCTTGTTATCTATAAATTTATTTTTTATTTGCTGAATCAAATTTAAAACTATACTCATACATAATTTTTCAAGGTATCTTAAATTATTATTTTTTCAATTTTAATATTTGTTGAAACCTTCTTATTATCTACAAATAATTTGTTAATCAATAAGTATAAAAAATAAACAAATAAATTGAACCTTATCTGATATAACAAATAAATTGAAATTTTAATTTTAATAACTTTTGGTGTCCTCCTTGTTATCTATAAATTTATTTTTTATTTGCTGAATCAAATTTAAAACTATACTCATACATAATTTTTCAAGGTATCTTAAATTATTATTTTTTCAATTTTAATATTTGTTGAAACCTTCTTATTATCTACAAATAATTTGTTAATCAATAAGTATAAAAAATAAACAAATAAATTGAACCTTATCTGATATAACAAATAAATTGAAATTTTAATTTTAATAACTTTTGGTGTCCTCCTTGTTATCTATAAATTTATTTTTTATTTGCTGAATCAAATTTAAAACTATACTCATACATAATTTTTCAAGGTATCTTAAATTATTATTTTTTCAATTTTAATATTTGTTGAAACCTTCTTATTATCTACAAATAATTTGTTAATCAATAAGTATAAAAAATAAACAAATAAATTGAACCTTATCTGATATAACAAATAAATTGAAATTTTAATTTTAATAACTTTTGGTGTCCTCCTTGTTATCTATAAATTTATTTTTTATTTGCTGAATCAAATTTAAAACTATACTCATACATAATTTTTCAAGGTATCTTAAATTATTATTTTTTCAATTTTAATATTTGTTGAAACCTTCTTATTATCTACAAATAATTTGTTAATCAATAAGTATAAAAAATAAACAAATAAATTGAACCTTATCTGATATAACAAATAAATTGAAATTTTAATTTTAATAACTTTTGGTGTCCTCCTTGTTATCTATAAATTTATTTTTTATTTGCTGAATCAAATTTAAAACTATACTCATACATAATTTTTCAAGGTATCTTAAATTATTATTTTTTCAATTTTAATATTTGTTGAAACCTTCTTATTATCTACAAATAATTTGTTAATCAATAAGTATAAAAAATAAACAAATAAATTGAACCTTATCTGATATAACAAATAAATTGAAATTTTAATTTTAATAACTTTTGGTGTCCTCCTTGTTATCTATAAATTTATTTTTTATTTGCTGAATCAAATTTAAAACTATACTCATACATAATTTTTCAAGGTATCTTAAATTATTATTTTTTCAATTTTAATATTTGTTGAAACCTTCTTATTATCTACAAATAATTTGTTAATCAATAAGTATAAAAAATAAACAAATAAATTGAACCTTATCTGATATAACAAATAAATTGAAAATTATTTGTTACTCGTGCATAATCTTATAGCTATCCTATATGTTTTCTGTTGTTAATTTTAAAATATTTTAAAATTTCCTTATCTTATAATATAACTTCTTATTGAGAGAAAATTGGAGAAAAAGTTTTAGCTAGTAATACATATCAAACACAAATAAGAGTTTGAGAGGAGAATTGGTCAATCAAAATTGATATATCATAATAAAAAATATAATAAATTAAAAAGAAATTGAGAAAGAGAAAAAAAAATTCAGTCAAAAAAAATTGAGAGAAAGAAATGGAAAAAATAGTGAAGAATTGATTCATCACAATTGATATTTTATAATAAAAAATACAATAAATGAAATAAAAAGAAATTGAGAAAGAAAAAATTTCAGTCCAAAAAATTGAGAGAAAGAACTGAAAAAAAAAAGTGAAGAATTAATTCATCACAATTGATATATAAACACAACTCTAGAACCCAAATAACAAATAAAGACTTTAAGAGAGAATTGGTTCATCCATCAAAAAAAAAAAAATAAAAAGAAAAATTGAAAAATTTCACATCATAATGTCTACATGTTTCCATCAATAAAACTTTCAAAAAAAAAATCACATTAAAAACATGTAAGATTTTTATATGGCGGTTTCTATGAAAAAAAATTCATAAGAATATAAGTTTAAAATTCAAATTATAACGTCTACATTTTTTTTTTAAATTTTGTTTTATTTGTTATTTTTTCCGTCAACATGATCAACAAAATAGAACAAAAACTTCTATGACTGAGAATATAAAAAATTCAAGACTCTTAAACAATTTAAAAAATATATATGAAAATAAATAAATAAAATCAATAAAAATATTAAATTGAAAATATTTAAATCATTTACCATCAAAGAGAAACAATAGTCTTGTTTACACTTTCTCTGCCATCATTCTTGAGAGAACAAAAATAGTTTTAAAATAGTCTTTTTATATTAGTTTTTAAAAAATAAATTCTAAAAATATTGTTAGAAAATCAAACCGGCACACACAACAATCCAACAACCATTCTTCGTTGTATAGCAACCTCCCCGCCCGCTCTCTCTCTCACTCTCCCTCTCTCACACACGCCACCACGCAACACCAGAAACCATTCGAACTATCGAATTGATTTTGATTTGATTTGAAAAATAAAAAATTTAAAATTCTTAAACAATTTACAGAATATATAAACAAAACATATATCGAAAACGAAAAAACAAAAATTTCAATCAATGAAAATATAAAAATTAATGATTCTTAAATTACTTACCATCAAAGAGAACAATAGTCTTGCCCTGTCTTCTTTTTTTTTATTTGTGAAAAACAATAGTCTTAAATATATTAGAGATGAATATGCGTTTGAAAAGGTGTTTGTGGATCGTGTAACAAAAAAAAAGGTGTTTGTACTGTCGGAACCTTCTCTTTCTGTTACAGGTTAGCCAGGTGTCATCTATTCTGCCAGTGTTCTCCAGCTGAGTACTGAGTTGGACAGTGTGATCGGAAAATCACTCACACACATTCAAATGTAGTATATTTGTTGTGTGATTCTAAAAACAAAGCGACTGTTTTGTTTATTTATTTATTTATTTTTAATTTCTAATTACAGGTGCCAAAAGCTTTGGAGACAAAAGTTAGGTTTCATGACATCAAAATTGGTGATGACTTTTAATAATAGAATAGATATGCAAATGTTTCTAAGTGATAAACAAATAAGACGACGAATCCGATCAATTCATTCGTTTTTTTCACCAGTGATGACAAATCTAGGCATTTGTTTGAGAGAAACGTTATTCTACTTCTTCTTCTTCTTGTTTTTTTTTTTGTTTTTTTTTTTTGTTTTTTGTGTTTTTTTTGTGTGTGTTTTTCCAAACTTTGTTTTGTAGATAATGATGGAACTACTACTTTTGTTTTTAAATCTAACTAGTAAATTTAATATTATAGGGAGTGTTTGGCAAGAAAAAAAATAGCTTACTTTAGGTTAAAATTTACAAAAAGATAAAATAGGTTAAAATAGTTAATAAGATAAAATATCACATTAAATTCATAATCATTTCATTTTTTTTCTAACAAACATCACATTCAACTATAAAAAAAATTCAATTATCTTTCTAAATATAAAAATTTTAGCCTATTAAAATAGTCAAAAATTAAAATAGCCTATTAAAATAACTACTTTACAAACGAAGCTGTGTGTGTGTGTGTGTGGATCTACGAATGTGAGGGCATAATGATAAAGAAGGGATATGTTTGCTTACAAATTTTCTCGGTAACTAAGTAGATCGATCTGTGGAAAAATTGAACAGATGTTTTCTTGGTAACTAAGCAGATTCTTTGTTGTTGTTGTTAACGGATAAAACACGTTACACAAGTGTAAGATTCTTCCACGTCATACCAAGAATTTGCACCATTTCCAACAATAAAATGTTTCGTAAACTGGTAGGTTCTGTTTGGAATCGTTTTCTGTTTTCAATTTATATTTATAAAATTTTTAAAAATTATCATAAAAATTTATTTGATAATTTTTTTGGTTTATAAACGGTTGTCTCACTTTATAAATTTGAAAAAAAAAACATAAACTCAAAAAATGAGTTTAGGTTTTCAGTTTTTATTTTTAAATAATTTTTTTTTCAAATAATTTTTTTTCAATTATTTTTTTTCAAATAATTTCTTTTTTTAATTAATTTTTTTTTAATTTTTAAATTTTTTTTTTTCAATTATGATGTGTGTGATTTCATTGTCATAAATAATATAAATGAATATAAATATTTTAGGCCTGAACAAACATATTTTTTAGTTTATGTTTTTAAAACATTTTGTTCAAATCAAACGCGTTTGTAATTTATGTTTTTCTAAAAATAAATAAAAATCAGTTTATAAAATTTTTGTAAACATAAACCAAAAACATAAACGTTACCAAACGCTACCGTAACTTTGGCTATTTTAAGGCTGTGTTTGGTTACAATGGTTAGAAGATTTGAAAAAAAAAAATTAGAAAGCATAAAGCAAAAAAAAGAGTGAATTATGGATAAAATATATCTTTATTTTGTTTAACTTTATATACTTTTTCAATTTCTCTTTCCAAATTTTTTCTTAATTTTTTCAATCAAACACAGCATAAGAGAATTTGTACAATGCTTCTCATAAATTTTTTTTATATCTATTAAAAAAAAGTATAAAAAATTTATTTTGAAAAATTTAACACATATTATTATTATCAAAATATTAAATTTTAAAATAATATAACTTTTTTTTAAATGTTGATTTTTAATAAAATTAGTATTTTTAAAATTATCTCATCAAGATCTATCAAATAAGATCGACGTTAATTATGAAATTCTTTATTAAAATAAAAAATTATTACCGTTAAAATTGATGTAAACAGTAACACGTTACTCTGTTTGATAGTAGCATAGAACTCTGACAATATTGTCTGAGAAAAAAAATATTTTACATTTTCCTTATTTAATTATGCACCTCCTCCTTAGGGGGTTTATGAAACAAAATAAATTGAACTGTCCTTATCACCCAATAAAAATCCAATTGAGAGGTTTTAGCTAAAATTTTCCTATTTTTAATGTTTTATTATTATTATTTTGGCTATTTTAATTGATTTTGTGGATTATTTTGTCATCTTTTGAGAAAGTGCAACAAAATATATATATACATATATATCAATTTCTTAGTTTATTTTTGGTTATATCACATCTCTACTTTTTGAATAATTTTTGTAATAAGTAAAAAATTAATTTTTTTAACACTTCTCAAAACAATTTAAAAAAAGTTGAGATTAAAAAAAAATAAATTGTGTTTTGGATGATTTGTGAATTTTTTTCAATTAAATGGATCGTGATAAGAGAAAAAATTATTGATTCACGTGTAAAATGTGATATTTTATCTTATTAATTATTTTAAATTTTTTTTTATTAATTATTTTAGTCAAAAATTCTTTTCCCAACACTACATTCTAAAATTAATAATAAAATATTAGTGAGCTATAAGAATGGCGAACTAACACATGGAGAGTTAATCTATATATCATTTATAAAAAGAATTAATAAAATACCATAATTGTAATTTTTTATTTTGTTACATATATCTTTGAAAAAATATACTGCAAATATATTTTTAAAAATATGCCGCTCATTTTTTTAGATACAAATACAGTAAAATAATTAAAGGCAGATTTAATCAAAATTTTCTCATAATAAAATTTTAATACATTAAGGATAAGTACAAAAAAATTTCTATACATTAAGGATAAGTATAAAAAAATTTCTTAAAAAGTTCAACATATACTACTATTACCAAAATATCTTTAGTGATTAATTTAATATTTTAAAATTTAAAATAATATAACTTTTAAAAATTTACATATAAATCCCATATTGAGAATAAGCTGTGAGTGTTACATTTGAAAAAAATATAATAAAAAGTTTTTTAATGTTTTTGTGTGTATTACATTAGAATGTTACGTTTGGCAAAAATGCACTAAAGAATTTTTTTGTATATTACATTAGAGTGTGTTACATTTGAGTGTTACATTTTAGAAAAGTATAATAAAGAGTTTTTTTTAAGTGTTACGTTGTTACATTTGAGAAAAGTACACTAAAGAGTTTTTTTGTGTGTTATATTGAAGTGTATTATATTACAGTATTACGTTTGCTAAAAGTACAATAAGAATTTTTTTTAGTGTTACATTGTTACATTTAAGAAAAGTACACTAAGGAATTTTTTTGTGTGTTACATTAGAGTGTTACATTCTTGTTCGTAATGTGGAATTTATTTTAAAAGGAGGAAATCCAAAACTTCTATTGTGCGAATTTTTCACATTTGGATAAACTCACTTTTATCTTTTAAAAATTAAACCCAAATATGTAAATGACTTCCTTTTTGTAATTTTCACTCTAATGTGAGCTTTAAGTCCATAAGAAAAAATGAAGAATTAAACAGTTCACTAGATCACATTTTGAAATTTATTTGTGCTTCACCCTAATTTTTGACAATTTTGGTATCCTAAAACTACTTAATTAAAAAAATATTCAAGGGATCATCTTTTTATTTCTTAATAAATTTCAACAATTTTTATATTCTGAAGTTACTAAATAAATAAAAAAAAGCATCATTTTTTTTTTAATTTTTAAATCGTAGTTAGTTTCATTTTAATTTTGTTTTGTGTCAATAACCTATAAATTTTAGCAATTTTTGTATTCTATAACTACGAAATAAAAAAATATTTATATCACTTTTCTATTTAAAATCTTAATTAGTTTTATTTTTACTTTATGTTAAGAGCCAATAAAGTGGTCTCGATAGTGTTATACACGAGTATAAATAAATAATCAAAAATTAGTTTTAAGACTAAATAATAATATAAAATTTATTTAAAATATGTAGTAAAAATAATTGATAATCAATTAAATATTATTTATTCTTGTTAGAGTTACACATAAATAACTTATATTTATGCTAACGTGACCTTTAACTAATCATTAAACATTGTCTTAGTTTATGCCTAACTTATCAATCATTTGATCTATTTATTTATTAAATTGATAAATAAATATCTATAAGTATTTTTTTATTTTTTTGGCCTTGTTTGGGGTACTCTAAAAAAGTCAAAAAGTCATTATCATATTTAAGCCATATCATCTTGTTTAAGTCACATCACCTCTTTATCACATCACTTCAAACCCAACCCATACCCAACTCATATTTCATAAAAAGTCAAAAAATGCACTTATTTACATCATCCCAAACCAAACATACTACTTTATGCATATATATATTAAGAAATTTGAACTTAGGTAAAAAATTATATATTTATGTTAACACTATGAAATAAATAGTTGCATATATTTATATATTAAGATATTATCTAAGATATACCCGCCCTAAATTATATGTCATACTTTAGCTTTCATCTTAGTAAAAATATTTGATAATAATAAATTTAAATATTATGTATAAATTATATCAGAATTTATCGATTAGTGACCGGTACGAACTAGTTTGGGGATTTTAATGTTGGATTAAACATTCAATGCACCAATTTTTAAGTCACATTTTGATAATCCAAACTGTTCACATTTTTTTGTTCGTCGAGTATATCATCATTGCAAAAAATCAAGTCAATCAGATAACAAAAATCACGTGTCTGGATCAATTTTGTATGAACTGTTTCTTTTCTCACTATCAATTTTTTGCATACAAAATTGATACAAACACATGGTTACCGTTATTTGATCGGCTTCATTTTTAATAGAAATGATGGACTTGATGAATCTTAAAATATGAATGGTTCAGATTATTAAAATGAAACCCAAAAGTGAAAATATAATGCCCAACAACACCTCTCCAATCCGATAGAAGACTGCAGAGAAGCTTAGGCCATTTTAAAAAATCAATCAGCTTGTTTGGTTCTGGTTTTTAGAAAATAATTTAAAAAAAATTCTATTTTTTTATTTTTTGTATTTTAATATTTTCAATGAATTTTTAAAATATTTTAAGTAATTTTTTAAAATTTTTAGACACATCTAACATAAATCACTCAAAAAGTATAATATTTATGAAAAAATCTTTAAAAAATACACTAAATTTCAAAAAATACAAAAAAATATGAAAATTTAGTACATTTTTTTATATTTTTATGTATTTATTAATTTTTTAAAATATGTTACCACAAATATTTTACTATTCAGATGCATCTAAGTAGGAGGATCTAAAAAAGTTTAAAAAAAAAAATCGCTTAAAATTTAAAAATATTCACTAAAAACAAAAAAAAATA